TTGACATGACAACTACATGTAATAGGTGTTTATATTGTTGATTGTCAAATTTGTTAGTTTTTAAACTCAAAGCTACACAATGGGCTATCTGTGTTTCATTTATTATACTTTTTGAACAACAGACAAAATTAAATTGACTATTTTACTCCTAAGGAGGGTTTCATGATAATTAACCTTATGAATTTCAGGGTTATCTTATTTGGACATTTTATTAAGTTTTAGACAGTGTGTTGACATGTTGAGTAGCTTCACTTAAGACTGCTTCTCACTGATGAAGAAAGATTCCAAAATGTTGTCTTCAAATTAGACAGAAGCAGTCCATAAGATTTACACACCCAACAGTATTACAACTCTAATGCCAAAAGAAACAGTCAAACATTATTTGTTATATTTACCTTTAATTAGAAATATCAACATAATTCTGCCTTCTATTAGAGGCATCAACATAATTCTGCCTTCTACTAGAGGCATCAACATAATTCTGCCTTCTACTAGAGGCATCAACATAATTCTGCCTTCTACTAGAAGCATCAACATAATTCTGCCTTTTTCTAGAGGCATCAACATAATTCTGCCTTTTTCTAGAGGCACCAACATAATTCTACCCTCTTCTAGAGGCACCAACATAATTCTGCCTTCTACTAGAGGCATCAACATAATTCTGCCTTCTACTAGAGGCATCAACATAATTCTGCCTTTTTCTAGATGCACCAAGATAATTCTGCCTTCTACTAGAGGTATTAACATAATTCTGCCTTCTACTAGAGGTATCAACATAATTCTACCTTCTACTAAAGGTATCAACATAATTCTACCTTCTACTAAAGGTATCAACATAATTCTGCCTTCTACTAAAGGTATCAACATAATTCTGCCTTCTACTAAAGGTATCAACATAATTCTTTCTTTTATTCTTATTTATATTTGAGATATCAATTTATTTTTAGCTTGAACTTAAGATATTGTTTTACTGAATATTTTACCATATTTTTTGTTTCTGTGAGAGAAAACACAATTCTTCCTCTTAAGTCGAGGCATTATTGGGTTTATGTCCAAAACATAATATTTTGGGACAACAAGGGACCTATTGGCCCATTTCAGCTGTCCCCCTCCTCTAAACTAAAGTGAAACTATTAAGTAAATAAATTTTACAAAAACTCTTACAGCCAGTTC